GGAATCAAATTCAAAATGGGAATTGCTGATGATACTGTGCTTATGGGAGATTCTAAAGAAAAATTGCAAAGGTTAGTGGATGAGTTTGAGAATGTGTGTAAAGGTAGAAAGTTTGAAAGTGAACAAGAAAAGAGTAAGGTGATGAGGGTATCAAATGATTTAGATAAAGAAAAATTGGATATCAAATTGAGGAGGAGGAGTATGGAAGAAGTGAATGTTTTCAGATACTTGGGAGTTGACGTGTCGGCGGATGGATTTATAAAGGATGAGGTTAATCATAGAATTGATGAGGGAAAAAAGGTGAGTGGTGCGTTGAGGTATATGTGGAGTCCAAAAAACGTATCTATGGAGGCAAAGAAGGGAATGTATGAAAGTATAGTAGTACCAACACTCTTATATGGATGTGAAGCTTGGGTGGTAAATGCAGCAGCGAGGAGACGGTTGGAGGCAGTGGAGATGTTCTGTCTAAGGGCAATGTGTGGTGTAAATATTATGCCGAAAATTCGGAGTGTGGAAATTAGGAGAAGGTGTGGAGTTAATAAAAGCATTAGTCAGAGGCAGAAGAGGGGTTGTTGAGTGCTTTGGTCATTTAGAGAGAATGGATCAAAGTAGAATGACATGGAAAGCATATAAATCTATAGGGGAAGGAAAGAGGAGTAGGGGTCGTCCTCGAAAGGGTTGGAAAGAGGGGTAAAGGAGGTTTTGTGGGCGAGGGCTTGGACTTCCAGCAAGCGTGCATGACGTGTTAGATAGGAGTGAATGGAGACGAATGATACTTGGGACCTGACGATCTGTTGGAGTGTGAGCAGGTAATATTTAGTGAAGGGATTCAGGGAAACCGGTTATTTTCATATAGTCGGACTTGAGTCCTGGAAATGGAAGTACAAATGCCTGCACTTTAAAGGAGGGGTTTGGGATATTGGCAGTTTGGAGGGATATGTTGTGTATCTTTATATGTGTATGCTTCTAGACTGTTGTATTCTGAGCACCTCTGCAAAAGCAGTGATAATGTGTGAGTGTGGTGAAAGTGTTGAATGATGATGAAAGTATTTTCTTTTTGGGGATTTTCTTTCTTTTTTGGGTCACCCTGCCTCGGTGGGAGACGACCGACTTGGGGAAAAAAAAAAAAAAAAAAAGCATACGTGTAGAGAACCTAGGATAACCAAAAAAAGTCAGAGTGACTTATTTCCATTGCCTTCACTCAGAGCGTCATTTCTTCTCAAAATGATGTTACATGTTATTCTACCGTATCAATGAAGAGACAACCTGTACGCAATGTAACTTGTACACAAACCAGACGTGTACACTTTGTTTGCAAAACTTACCTTCGCCTGGTTTGTTTACATAACTCTGTGCCTGTCCTCTCTCATGCACTCATTCTTTCTCTCTCTCATTTATTTGTTTTATTTCATTTACTTGCTCCTGACCCTACATTAAGACTACAAATATTTTAAGGTAAGTAATGAGTGAACTGTATATGCATTTTATCGCTCTGGGATGCTTAAATGTAATAGAATATTATGTGTAGGTGGGTTGGCCTGGTATGGTAGCCCGGCTGACTACCATACATACCACACTTGATTTCTTACAATAAATACTACTTGTCTCACCCTAGATTAAGACTATAAATATTTTAAGGTAAGTAATGAGTGCACTATGTGTGTATTGTACTTTTTTATTGTTTTTTGATGCCTAGTTCTATTGTTAACTTAATATATGTTAGTGTAAACTTGTTATCTAGTATTTGTATGCATTTTTAAGTGGAAAAAAAAGTGTTCCACTTTATGGCGATTTCCGCTTTACGGCGGTAGCCTGGAACCTAACCTGCCGTATAAGTGGGGCCCTACTGTATTTAGTTTTTCTGTCATTTTAAATGCATTTATCTTTGGTATATGGTTGTTTCTCCATGAGGAAGTGGGGAAGAATCTAGTACTGCATAAATTATTAAAAGTGAATAGAAGAAAAACTATATGAAAAATTTTCCTTCTTTTTCAGGCCACCTTGCCTTAGTGGGAGATGGCTGGCATGTTTAAAAAAAATATATACATATATGTATATAATTGCTTGGTGTAAGTCTGGTTAGTTCATATTTTCTTTACAATTTGGATAAGAAATGTGTATTTTTATAGGCGTGCCTTTTATCATGTGCTTTGTTTGAAATTTATTCTTAAATAAATTTATCAGAATAAGCATAAATTTATATTCAAGAGCATGTGTAGGAGCAGCATTAACAAAACTTTGGTGTGTCCTAAGGGAAAAGAAGCTCACATCTACCTTTTCAAAACTAAGACAATCTCAGTAACACTTAAACTAGTTCATGCGAGGCAAGTTGATTTTCTTAATTAAATTTTTCTAGAGTACAGTAGGTCCTCCATTCCTGAAAATTGTTCACAAGCTGATTGTTCAGGATTATAAACCTGTTTTCCCATATATAGTCATGTTATAATCGAAGATGCATTCCTGAGCTGTAATGTTCCATAAATTGTATCAGTATGGTTAGCCAATAAAGCAGGAGCACACTTTCAATAAGAAACAATGAAATCACTTAATGATAGTCTATGAATCTAGAAATAAGCTATTTTAACCCTTAAACGGTCAAAACGTATATATACGTTTTATTTTTCCTGCCTTCAAATTTGGCATGATTGGCCTGAGATGCCTTGTCAGCATAGAATGGGTCCTAACACTCAGTGTGTGCAGTATTAAAAAAAGCTGGGACCACTTAGTACCTTGTAGGAGCGCCAGTTAAATTAAGCGCCAGCTAGAGCAAACAGTTAGGCAAACACCAAGGATTCACTGATGTAATGTCATATTAACACTCCTCTTTTAAGAGGAAAGTGATGTTAACCCCAAGTTTAGGGTCTGTCTATCTGTGTCTGTCTCTATCTTTTTCAATCTGTCTGTATCTCTGTCTCACAGGTACACATAGTGTAAATTACCTAGGATAACCCCAAAAATCCAGACAAAGTGCTATACTCTGCTTGAAGATGTGAGTAAACATGATGAAGACGCAGTCTTGTGGCTCTCTCTGAGACAGAGAGCTAGACGGATAGACAGACATGTTTGTGTACCAGCGAAAACAAAGCGAGGGCCATGCTCATCAAATATCACCCCTAATCTTTTCTTATCAGCTGCACCCTCGTGTATGCTCATCAAACGTCAGCTCTTATCAGTTGTTATCTCATCATGTCACTGTCAGGGGTGGACTTTGTTTTTCATGCTTCAAGGGAACTTATTATTACCTATTATTATTATGTATTATTCTCCTCCTCCTCATTGTTATTATATACTTCCACATATCCAAAACATTGTTGGGACATATAAATACTTTGTATATATTCCAAGACAATATTAAATGGCTAAGGCAGGTGTAAATGTCCACCTGTCAGTGTGTTTGAGTACAATTTCAGTACCTAATACTAGTGTCAGAACAAAGATTGGTTATAAAATGAAAAGAACTACTACAAATTGTAATTATCAGAACATAAAAATTACATAAAATATGTAGAAAAAAAGGTATAACGGCAACACTTCTGCAAGCGGCAGGACTTGATGTTGCTGTCACGTGAGCACCCAGTGCCAACTTCTCGACCTCATATCTCAGTACTGACCCTAAATTTTTTTTTTTATTCTAAAATACTTAAAAAAGAAATGTGCTCTTTTTTTTCTATAATTGTTTTTTTCTCAAAATATTCGGGGCGCTGCGCGAGTGAATATATACGTTTGGACCGTTTAAGGGTTAAGGTAAGAAATATGTTGGATAATGCTAATGTGTTGAGGATACACTGCAGGGGGGTACAGTCAAGTCCTGGCCCTGTTCCTCAACTTGCTGATTGCCAGATTTACTCCCTCCTAGCCTCAAGGGCCCTTAAAACCACTTCAAGATCATTTCACTTACCAACTTCACCAAGACTAAAAATTACTTCCTGATATTCCTTTAGCTTGTCTGTGTTTATAACTTTCATTCTCTCAAATATGCTGTCCATGTATACCCTATCAATTCCTCTGAGTATTTTGTACGTTTTTATCATGTGTGCCATGGTTCTTCTGTCTTGTGATTATTCAAATCCTTTAGCCTCTCTTCATAGTTCATATCCCTTAGCTCTGGAATAAGCCTTGCTGCATGCTTCTGAACTTTCTACAACTTAACATGGTTTTTTCAGGTGTGGGTTTCATACTGGTGCTGTATTGTGTCCAAGATAGGACTGACATTTGTTGATTAAAAGGTTCAAAATGATTCTTTGCTTGAGATTCCTGAAAGCTACACTTGGATTTAACAGACAAGCATTCGTTGCAGAGGTCATTCAGCTAATATAAGCCTCTATGGGCTGCACATAGTACTGCTACTGTTGCAAGATCAGGTAACCTTCCTCCAGTTACTGCGCTGTATGACCCTTGTAGGTTTAGCGCTTTTTTTTTTTAAATCCTCCAGTTACTTACCAGGCTTATTTCACCTGCAATTTGCTCGAGCATCTGGACATTAAATTGTGAACACTGCCCAGAAATATGGACCGAGTCCCCAAATAACAAATATATAAGTTGCATTTCTAATTACGAACAAATTGTTCGAAACTACCCATTTTCCAATAAATATAATACAGGGTATTAGAAATGATGGTTATACGTGAAATGTGTTCATAACTGCACACTGGCATTCCTAAAACAATTTAAAAATTATTTCTGATGAATCTAGTTCATAACTTAGCCATTTCTCAGTTGAGGCCCCCTGCACATACATTATGAATACACCTTGAAAAGCTATTCATAAAAACCTAAACGATATATCCTAAAATAATTCATTGAACTGTAGGTCAATGATAAGAGGCTGTAATAATAATAATAACCTATAGGATATATCCTAAGAATTCATTGAACTTTAGATCAAAGATAAGAAGCTATAATGTTAATTCATTCAGTTTTTAAAAGAGGGGCATATTTTTTTTTTAATATAAGTTACAAAACTGGGTTATAATTATTTTAATATTATCACTATTCGTTACCTCAAATTTTCTTCGTTCTTCTGCAGACATGGGTTTGGGCTGTGAATGTATTAAGGCCGTAGGAGAATATATCTTTGTGTTATCAGGTGCATGCTGTTTTTCGTAGTCTTGATTTCTCTGGAGAACCTGATGTGATTGCTGTTGTAGGTGCACCTGCTGTTGCTGCTGTTGACTGGTTGTGCTTGCTGTTTCTGCAAATGCTGCTGCTGTTGTTTGCAATATATGCTTCTCATCTAACAACTGAAATAAATATAATCAAATAATTCTTAAAGAATAATTACTTTAAAAATCCAAGTATTTCAGAGATAATCTCTTCATGTGTCTACATATGATCTTGTTATTTATATAAGTAAAGTGATCATGACAAAAACACTCAATAAAAAAGAATTATACTCTGTAAGCAATACAATACAGAGTTCCTATTCAAAGTATTTAGGATCAAACAGTTACATCAACCAAATATTACAACTTTTACATAGCAATAAAAAATCCAGTTTCAAAACTATCTCAAAACCCTAAAGCAATAGAGTATTTTACAATTGAAAATCAGAAAAAAATCAAAAGTTTGAGTCTCCTACATGTGGATTATTTGTGTATTCTCCTGGAAGAAATATGGCTTCAGCACTGTTTACATATTTAACAACAATGTACAGTGCTGCAGTTTGAAAATAAGAGAAAAATAAAAGTGAAACAATCACATTAGTAAATACTTCAAAGGAAACTGACGGCAAAAAATATTTCAATTAACACAACAATGATATTTGGGAACTTACAGTTTCCATGATTTAAAATTCATTACCTTTTCATCTTTTATAAATGACCATAATAAAATAGAGAAAACAGCAGTAACACTTTTTGTCCTATACCACTGTGTGTTAGTTATATATGCCTTTCAACTGCACACAGTACAATACTATTAACCCTTTCAGGGTCCAGAGGCCAATTCTCAGAGTGACAGCCAGAGTCCAAGAATTTTCAAAAATCTTTTTTGTTATTTTTTCTTATGAAATGGTACAGAATCTTTTTCTGAAGGTAATAAAGCAAAAAGTACGATATTTGATGGAAAACTGATGAAATTATGCTCTTGCAAATTTTGATGTGTCAGCGATATTTACACATTGGCAATTTTGCCGAATTTGACTCCCATTTTAGGCTGATTACATTATTCCAGTTGACCAAATTCTTAGCTATTTCGCTAGTATTCCTTCTATTTTATTGATTGAGCACAAGAAATTGCCCAGGTAACTGTTTCAACTACCCAATAAAGCGATCGGAAATTGGTAATTTGCCCAATTTAACACAAAGTTCAAAATATTTGCTTCAAAATAGGGTCCAGAATAAACCATGCAGGCATTCCTGGCACTAAACTAACATTTCCTCTGTTCATTAGTTATGTTTTCAGGGTTTACAAATGAATTCCATTTTGATTTTTAATTCATATAATGAATTTTTATTTACACCAAAAAATAGAAGATTTACTGTTATGCAATGTTGTAATAATTGTATAAATAATATCAGCATATTCGTGAATGTATATCAGACCCACCAGCTGATGCGTATTAGATTTGTGATGACATTTGTTTACTCTTGAACATCAGCAAAAATTGAACATTTCCGCTACTTTGAGCTCAGTTTCAAGCCATTTTCAGTACTAAAACCAATCAAAATCATCCCTATTTCTGTAATATGTATTCCATTCTATGAAATGAGACCAAGAAATCGCAAATACAACTGTAAAAAACAGGAAAAAACACTGCAAAGACGCTCTTTTAACCCCTTCAGGGTCCAAGGCCAAGATCTGAAGTGGTGCTCCAGTGTCCAAGAAATATTTTTTCTTACAGAATTAAAGAGTATATTTTTGTAAAGGTAATAAGACAAAAAAAAAAAATTCTGATCAGTACTTACCGAGATACAGTGCCGAGAAGTTTGCCCCAAATGACGTGGTGGTGGCAACAGCGATGATTTCCACATACGCACATTACTTTGTTTACTGTTTTTTGTAGTTTTTCTTTTCTTTTCTAATTTTTTTTCTTTTCCTACTAACATTTGGGGCCTGAGAGACCAATACTGTATATAATGTATAGATATAAACTCACTGTATTGAACACAATAACCGCACTAAAGTTATTATCATATTATTATTTACCACTGTTGTTTATTACAATAAACATGCACAAATCTTGTATAATACTAATGTTCTATCATATATTTACATATTTACAATCACTGGACATGGTTTTAGAACTGCTGGAGCTTGTGGAACTCTCTGAAACAAGGCACCATGCACAGAGGTACCTCACATTCCTCACACAAACCGAGTGTTGTTGCGTCTTTGTTGCCGTAGTTTTGTTTGTGCACAGCCGATGCATCTCTTCTGAGTTGAAGGAAGCTGTATTACGAAATGATCACCTTCCCTCCTCAAACGCTTGGGTATATCCTGAGGAGTTCGAGGACCTTGTTGTATAGCAGGTGTTGTTACCTGGTACTTCATTATGAGTTGTCTGACAACAGACAAACAAAATTCACCATACGGTGGTCTGTTGCCAGTCTTCATTTGGTACATATTATATGCATTGAGCATTGAAATGTCCATGAGATGGAAGAAAAGTTTCATGTACCACTTGTAACTTTTACAAGCACAATCAACAAAGCCAATCTGCATGTCACATTTGTCAACCAAGCGCATGTTTTGTGTATAATCAATCACTCACTGGTTTTCGTATACGTTCATTAGTCACTCGATCAACTTTGCCACTGTCTTGCATTTCATTACGGTGAATGGCTGTCAACAATGTGACATCTCGTTTGTCATGCCACCGTAATGCCATGATGTCATTGGCAGTAAACACCTGCACATCATCACCACGAGCACCTGCGTTGAGCCTGGGCATATGTTTACGATTAGAACGCACTGTGCCACACACATCTTGTTCACTCGCAAGAAATGGGCTTGTGTACCAGTTATCGGTATATAATGTATGCCCCTTACCAAGATAAGGTGCCATCATGCTTCTCACTACATCACCTGAGATACCCAATAACATCTTGTTATCTTTCAATGTTTTACTTCCCATGTATACAACAATATCCAATACCAGGCCACTGTCACAGTCACATAGTACAAACAGTTTTATACCAAAGTGTTTCCTCTTGCTCAGTATATACTGCTTGAATGACAGTCTACCTTTGAACAAAATCAAAGACTCGTCAATTACAAGATTCTTGAATGGATAAAAGTACATGCTGAACTTTTGTTTGAGATACATAAAAACATTTCTAATCTTGTATAACCTGTCACTTTTGTCAGAGAAGTGCAACATACGTAACAGTAAGATAAACCTTTTCACTGAAGACCGGGGTAGAAATTAGCCGATCTGTGGACCAGTATGCTTTTATATTATGCTTATAGACATGAGGCATAAGCATTATTGTTGCAAAAAGCAAATATATTTCTGCAACAGTCGTCTCTTTCCACTGGTGTAGTCTTGACTGTGGCGATATGATCGTATTTGCCATGGTGTACTCAAAATACTTGTTACTTTCCCTGACAATAGTTTCCATCAATGGCTGGTCAAAGAATAGTTCAAAGAATTCCAGTTCATTTGCAGTGTTTCCAAGGGGTCAAGTTGGTAGAATTCCACTTTCAAAGTCATCAAAGTGGTGGAGCTTGGGAACAAAATTGGGATTTTGCTGCCAATCCCAGATACGGTTTGCTGGTGGATGCTGGACATCATAGGCTGGTTGTGCGGGTAGTTGTGGTGGGCTGGTGGCTGACGCTCTGCTTTGTCCTTGAACTGCGGAGTCAGCAGCATGGGTCCCAGCCTGGGCTGGTGAGTCACGCATGGCCGTGGCACTACCATCACCACTACCACTATCAACTGATGCCTGTGGTCTATCCATGCCAAGTGTAGCCACATCATCCTCACTATCACTATCTATACCTGGTGTAGGGCCACGGGATGTACTCCGGGATGTACTCCGGGATGTACTCCGTCCCCTGGGCACAGCATAGGGTACACTACCTGAGCGCATGCGGCGACGTACATACCGACGCTTCACTGGTGAATATGATTCCTCACTATCACTACTCGAATGATCGTCAAGTGCAATAAAATCACAATCCACGTCACTATCATCATCATTACTGAAGTCAGAGGCCTGGCCACACGAAAATAATAGTTTTCTCTTGTGTTGAGGTACAACCGACCGTGACTGACGAGTGCCCACACCAGAGGTAGAAGGTTGAGGATCGTCAGGGTTTTCTGCACTATTATCGATATCCTGGTCATTCCTTTCGGTCACTAACTGATCAAAGCCAAAGAATTCGTCTTCATTTCCACTTCCATCACTGTCAAAACTATCAGATAGGAATAGGAGAATCCCAATTTTCCTTGGAGTGAGACCTGCCTTGCGATGAGGCATGGTGAACAAGGGTAACTGAGCCGGCGTTCCCACAATGCTATGCGGGCGCCTAGATTTTTTGTTTATGGCGCACACCCACCACGCAGACCCGTTCTCTCACATGTAGGCCTATGAGCGTTTTCGCGCTAAATTTGACGGCGCTAGAATTTTGGCGTAGATCTACGGTTTGGACACAACGTGAAGCCGTAGATCTACGGGACAGACCCTGAAAGAGTTAATCCAAAATTACGGTCGCAATTTTTTTTCTCATTATGCACTGCGTGCTGCACTATTTGTTTATGTGGTGCACACTTATCACATAGATGTGTTCTCTCATATCTAGGTGCAAATTTACTGCTCACAGGTTATCTGAGTGAGCTGAGCTCATGGCGTGGATCTACAGTTTGAACCCTGGATTCAAAGCCGTAGATCTATGGCACAGACCCTGAAAGGGTTAAAAACACTTCTCTAAACACCAGCTAATGCATACTTTAACTGGTACCTTTATCAAAAGTAAATATGGTAATAATGTATGGTATTTATAACTATAAAAATGAAGAGGGGCAGCAAGGAATGCTAACAAAGATATTATTTTTGACATTCATGTAATAAAATTAAGTATTGTCTAACCTTAAAATATTCTTTGTAAAATTAATCTCTATTTTGAGGCAGAATTTTTTTGACGATTAACACTTAGAAATCATATGATATTTTATCTGATGTGCTTTTTTTTTTTTTTTTTTTTTAACTGGCCATCTCCCACCAAGGTAGGGGGACCCAAAATAGGAAACAAATTTACCATCATTTATACAATAGCTGTTTTGCCAGAAGTACACAGACATCATAATACAAATGACCCTTTAAAAATATATTACATATCCCTACCACACCTTCCAACCTATTTAAATCTCTTTTGCTACATTTGCATAATATACCTGTGTAGATGGTGAAGTAGGATGTTCTTGTGTGATGATTGGCCGACCAGTACCCACGTACTGTTGCGCCGTCACCTGATCCAATGGAGAGGTGTTTTTCAAGCCTTTACTTCTTGCCTGTGATAATTACATAGAATCATTACAGTCCTTGAGATACACACAGTATATAACCAATAACAAAGGAGTTTAATGCATATAACCATTAAGCATTATATTCTATTACAGATGTTTTAAATCTAAATAGAATAAAAATCAAAGTTTACCTTTTTTTCCTGTTCTTTTTTATCAAAATAATCGAGGAAGAGTGGCCGGTCAAGTCGCTCCCCAGGAGCTGTGTCATGTCCTGTGATGTAAAGTGAATTATATGTAGCCCCAAGGAAAGCTTTCACAATCTAATTAATCTATGTATAACAATACAGTGGACCCTTGGTTATCGGCCATTCTAGATATAGGCCAATTTGGTTTTCGCCTGCTTGTTTGGCCGAAATTCTATCCCAGTTATCAGCCATATTGGACGCATCCACCCGCTGCTCCGGCGCATTCATGAGTCAGTCTGGCTGTGTCTCTGGGTGAGTGAGGAAGCCTCCACGCATTCATCCAAACATTTCGCTATGATCCATTGTTTTTTGTGGTTATTGACTGAGTGCAACTGCAAAATAAGCAACAATAGGCCCAAAGAAAGTTCCTAGTAAAGTTCCTTTGGTAAAGAAAGTGAGAAATACAATGGAATTTAAGAAAGAAATTATTGAAAAGTATGAGAGTGGTGTACGGCTGTTTGAGCTTGCCAGGATGCATGCAAAATCCAAATCAACAATCACTTCCATCCTGGTAAAGAAAGTAGAAATCAAGGAAGGTAATGTTGTGAAAGGAGTAAATGTGCTAATGAAACAAAGGTCACCAATAATCAAAGATGTGGAGAAGTTATTGTTGGTGTGGATCACCACACGGAAGAACTAACCACTTCCAAACAATAATCAGTCCTCCCTCTCTCCTACTCCCTGTTTTCCATAAGCCAACAAGAGTCTTCAATAAAGGTATGTAATAGTGATTTAAACGTTCATTTATTTTATTTAGTTCTCATTGTTTTGTGTATGTAAAACTATAGTTAATCTTTAAAAAATGTATTTTTTGTTAATATTTTTGGGTGTCTGGAATGGATTAATTGTATTTACATTAATTCTTGTGGGAAATATTATTTCGGTTTTAGGTCAACCTCCTGGAACGGATTACGGCCGATAACCGAAGGTCCACTGTATCTGTCAGTGGTATAAAAATTGCCCATAAAAAACTGACAACTGAAACAATACAAATACTTGAAATAGAAGACAGACAAGAAGCCCTAAATTAAAAACCAGTACTCTCCTATTTTTGCCTGCAGGGGTTGAGTCTCAGCTCTTGGCCCTGCCTTTCAAATTACCACTTGACAAATTCACTCTCAGCCTCATGGGTCCTATCATTCCTCCTCTTAAAACTGTGTACTCCCCAAGTTGTGTTTGCAGGGGTTGAGATTCTGCTCCTAACCCTGCCTCTTAAACTTCTAAGCTAGCCAGCATTTACTCCTTAACCTCTTCAGCCACATCATACCTATTTTTGAAAATGTGCATTGAATTTGTTTCCATCACCCTAACAAGTTTCATGTGTATATTACCAAGAGTTAGGTGAAAATTAAGAGGCAGGGCCAGAGACTAAAGTTTACAACATGCAAAACTAGCTGGGTAATTAGAAATATTTAATCAGTGGTACCTTTAATACTCTCACAGTTTTCTACTGGAGGTATAAACAATTATTTAATTAAACTTCCTAAAAACATCTCTTACTCTTCATGGTGGAATCCTCATCATCATCAGCATTATCTGAGTTTATGACCATAGTCCCGAGGTCTGTGTTGAGCGTTCCTGTTCCAACTGGTGCTTTCAGTGTTCCCCCCGAGTCTAAAGGAGCCATCAAAGTGCCATCATTATTGAGGGGCTTAAGAGTGCCACTATCCCCACTGCTGGCACTATAACGAACCATGGTACTGCTATCGATATCATCTTCATCCTAATTAAGAGAATAAAAGTAATTATAATCAACTGCATAATTTTTATTTTGATTTTATGCATTCTATTTCATTTCTTTCATCTGCCAATTAAACTCAGAATAGTCACTGACATATCTGAAATGGTATGATTCAATCAAAATATATTACAAGCATTGATATAATGTAAACATTATCATCTAAAAACAAAATCTACCTGTATATCTTAAATATTTATACCCAATTACCCATGTAACTGTACCAACATTATGTATTTACCTATCAATATCTGTCTTAATTATACATAAACAATCACGTATAACAAGAAGCTGTGAACTGACAGCGCAACCACAAATAAGTGAGTACACACAGCCTTAACATTCACTTACATATATCACAAATATTAACAAATGCATTTGTTTGAAACATGGCAAACACCCCATTAATTAAAAGGAGGGATGGAGGAGATAAGAGGAAAGAGACAAACCACTCCAAAACTATATTCACACCTTTTAACATTTTTTGTCTTTATCCCATTAATCCCAGTTTCTTTCCCCCCTTTCATTTTACCCACTACCTCACACCTTCCCCACACTCACATCTAGATCTATCACACTCCTAAAAGATGTTATACCACCCTGCTCAATACATGAAATCATTGCCCCCTCCCCTCTCTCTCTCTCTCTCCATTCATCAACAATTAACAGCTCCTCAAAATATTCCCTTCCATCTTTCCCATACTTACACTTTCCCTTCTAATAACTCCCCTCTTATTTTTAACTGTTAATTTTATTAATTCCCTAGGTTTTCTCCACCAATCGTTCCTCTTCCCTCCTGCATCCACCCTTCTCTATCCATGAACCTCTGCTGCACACTAGCACTGCATTTTTAAATATACTCTATATATCTTTGAATTCCTCATTACCTATACTCTCTAGCTCATCTTTCTATCAAGAGTTGCTTATTTCTTACCCTAACTGCCTCCTCCTTCAATATGTAAATTTTCACTTATCTCTTACTAACTGATGACATTCTCCTTGCACCCCATCTACCTCTTACTTTCACTGTAGCTACAACTAATTTTTTTTTCAACACATTGGCCATCTCCCACAGACGCAGGGCGACTCAAAAAAAAAAAAAAAAAAAGAACCATTCATGCATAATCATTGTCCTTGTAGAGGTGCACAGATATGACAGTTCAGATGTCACTCCAAACAGCAAATTTCCCAAACCCCTCTTTTAAAGTGCAGGCACTGTACCTCCCACTCCAGGACTCAAGTCTGGTTAACTGGTTTCCCTGAATCCCTTCACAAAATATTACCCTGCTCATCAAGTCCCAAAAACCATTCATCTCCATTCACTCCTATCTAACACACACATGCCTGCTGTATGTCCATGCCCCTTGCACACAAAACCTCTTTTACCTTCCTCCTCCCCCCATCCTTTCCTAGGATGACCCCTACCCTTCCTCTCCTCCACTACAAGACATCCTATTTTGCTCCCTCCTCTCTAGATGACCAAACCATATCAACAATCCCTCTTTAGCTATCTGAATAATACTTTTAGTAACTCCACACCACCTCCTAATTGCCACACTGTGAATTCTCTGCATAATATTTACATCACGCATTGTCCTTAGACACGACATCTCCACTGCCTCCAGCCTCTTCCTCGCTGCAGCCTTTACAACCCATGCTTCACACCCATATAAGAGTGTTGGTACCACTATACTCTCAAAGGTCCCTGAATCTGCACTTTCTAGAAAGGTGTAGAATAAGGGGGAATATGACTGAAGTGTATAAATGGAAAACAGGAATAAATAAAGGGGATGTAAATAGCATGCTAAAAATATCTAGCCAAGACAGGACTTGCAGCAATGGTTTTAAGTTGGAAAAATTCAGGAAGGATATAGGAAAGCACTGGTTTGGTAATAGAGTTGCAGATGAGTAGAACAAGCTCCTGAGTACTGTAATAGAAGCTAAAACGTTGTGTAGTTTAAAAAATAGGTTAGATAAATACAGGAGTAGGTGTGAGTTGGACCTGACTAGCTTGTGCTAATAGGTCTGATGCTGTGCTCCTTCCATAAGTGGATGTGACTTAACCTGACTAGGTTGGGTCATTGGACGCTTGGACCTGCCTCGCATGGACCAGTAGGCCTGCTGCAATGTTCCTTCTTATGGTCATACATTCTCTTCTTTGCTGCAATGAATAATGTTCTTTGTCTCCACATATCTCAATGCACCACCCACATTTTTTCATTCATCAATTTTATGGTTTATCACATCCTTCATAGACCCATCTGCTGACAAGTCTACTCCCAAATATCTGAACACATTCACTTCTTTCATACTCCCTCCCTCCACTATAATATCCACTTTGTCTTTACCTAACTTGTTTGATACCCTCATCACCTTAATCTTATCTATGTTCACTTTCAACTTTCTTCCTTTACACATCCTCCCAAACTCATCCACTAACTTTTGCAACTTCTGTTTAAACTCTCTCAAAAGCTCAGTATCATCAGCAAAAAGTAACTGTGTCAACTCCCATTTATTATAAACACAACTTCAATGTTTCAAAACAACAACTCAATTGTATATAATTACCTAGTTCTACTGAAGTATATACCAGTATCTAATTCAATCAGAAACACACCTAACTGATACGTCTTTCCCCAGCCTTGTAACAAGATGTTATAATCCAGACTCGTCCTTTCATCCACAACTAGCACTCATCCCTGCCTGTTCCTCTACCTACCTAAATATGTCTATATCTAGATATATCCTGTTATGCCTTCTAAAATCATCCACATCCAGAAGTCTACCCATCAATTTTTATCTATTAATATACAGTTCAACTAACTAATGTCATAATACCCTATATCATATCACCAGTACTTATTTGTCCTCTTTTTTTTTTTTATATAAAATATGTATTACCTATTACCAAACCTCTTTCTATACAAAGTTCAATTAACCCGTAAACGGTCCAAGCAGATCTACTTTCACATGTGTAGTGCTCCAAAAGTAGATTACGTTTTTTTTACATATTTTCAAATATAACAAAAAAAAGTAGATCAAAGTTTTTTTACACATTTTCAAATGTAAAAAAAAAAAAAAGATCTACTTTTTTTACATACTTTCAAATGTTGAAAAAACATATATACGTTTGGACCGTTTACAGGTTAAAGGCCCCCATTATCATTTGCTCCTGGCACTCCAAATTGTGGCCTCTATTCTCCCTAATGATGGTGCAGAAAAAAAAAAGATAACAGAAAGAACAAGCCACAATTATAAACTATAAAAAATATATTGAAAGGACACATGACAATTATTTTGAGCTCAAAGGAAGTCCAAAGGAGTGCATCAAGACCTATCCCTCAACTAAGAGTATAGAGAAATCAGAAGAGACATGATGACAATACACAAACTACTCCAAGATATAGCAAAAGTAAAGTAGGATGGATTTCTACTAGGACTAAAAATTTAAACTGTACATCCATCTGGGTCAGAAAAAAAAAATTGATCCAACAAACTGTAAAGATGTGGAATGACCTTTAAGAAGCAATCTGATCCCTACAAACTAACTCAAATAGGTATGGTTATTATAAATTAATATTACATACACACAATGTATCTAAAAAGCTTAAATTTCCTATGTTTTATCTGTAGCTACACCATTTGATATTAATCACGCTTTCACTATTTGCCCTTAATTTTACCTTTTTAAAACAAATACAGCTTAAATATATTTATAAAAATTCTTGCATTCTGTAACTGTTACAGTATGTAATAATTTCATTAACCAGTCCTTTGGTGTAATACCCACCTTCACACACAATAACAGAGCTTCACATGACAAAATTTTTTATGTGGATAGATGCAGTTTCCTATAAGGCTTATCTACTACAGAAAAGCATTAATCTTGCCACTTTTCACAGGCTCTGTTAACCCGTAAACGGTCCAAACGTATATATACATTTTTTCGACATTTGAATGTAAAAAAAGTAGATCTTCTTTTTGTTTTTTTACATTTGAAAATGTGTAAAAAAACTTTGATCTACTTTTTTTTTTGTTATATTTGAAAATATGTAAAAAAAACGTAGATCTACTTTTGTAGCACTACACATGTGAACGTAGATCTGCTTGGACCGTTTACGTGTTAAGAGTGTCACATAATAAGCTTATAAAATACATATTATGCCCATGCCACATGCATTTAAGTTATAAATTTATAAAATTCATGCCATGCATAACACTCAAAAAATAATATAATTTAAGATTTGCATGCAACATTTTAGGAAAAAAAAACCTGTACACATTGTATGCTCATACCCTGGAGCTGGGGAAAGGGTGAAGGAGCAAAACCTCACTGGAAGAGCATAGGGTTAGGTTGTAAATTGTAGTGATACCAACAAACTGTGGAAAATGACTGATGAAGCCATTCATGGTAAAACATTTTCTTTAAGAAATGTCTTGAACAGTATACATGTGCCCTTTTCCACAGAATAAGGTTAAGTGTGACATGATTATGCCATAAAAGATAATCAAGAGCTCTGACAGATTACACAAGGACATACTGAGGCAGAAGGGGTCAGAACGTTGGAACATGGAGGCTGAACATCCAGATGAACCAGACAAGACGAAGTCAGAAAGTCTGGAAGTATTTTTCAGCATAAGAAATTAACAAGTGGAATAAGATAGGTAAAATAACAATAATAGTGGCAAATATTATACATGGATTAAAAAAAGAAAAGGATAGGAACTACTTGGATTAGTTTATGGAAGGATAAGGGAGATCAAAATATGAAGCTCAACTTCAAGAAACATTGCTCGTTAATTACAACTCAGTGAATATGTACTGTATATACATATGCACACAAACATGCACATTTGGACATGTGCACACACAAAAAGAAACAGACAGGATCAGGGAGGAATAACAGTGAAAGTTCTACAATGGATCAAGTAATACATAATAGGAGGAAATAAGTGATTTTCCAGGAAGAAGTATCAGAATGAGCAAATGTGAAAAATAGGGTTCCACAAGGATGCATGTTAGGACTTTTACTGCTACTGGTGAATGCGAAAAATATGAAAGAATAGCAAAAAAAAAGGCACAATACCGTGACTGGAACGATACACAAATAACCCGCACAATGGTCCAAGTCGGACCGAAACGTCGTCGTAAGCTTCTCTCTTTTATGTGCGGGTTATTTGTGTATGAAAGAATAGCCTTTATGCATCCCTGTTTGCAGATGGTAATGCTAATGAGGACAAAATAAGACAGGAGAGGACAAGGAAAGCTGATAAATAAAACTGGATAAACCACAGGATTCGTCTGGCAAGTGGCTACTGAAAGTCAACCCCAGCAAATGCAAGTTTATAAAATCTGGGGAAGGGCAAAGATCGGAAATGGAGTATAGGCTCTGAGGAATCTGAAGGCCACAGACTTCGCTCAAGAAGAAAGACAATGCATGGAGCTTAATAACAAGGATGTCACCTGAGGTGCACATTAAACAAATAACTGCAACAAATATGCATCTGGAAAATATGAGATTGAGTTTCAGGAATCTCAAGAGGGAGCCATTCATAATATTACATATGACATGTCAGGACCATCTCTGAGTATGCAGCACCAGTATGGAATCCACATCTGAGCAAGCATATTTTCCTCTGATGTGTCACTGCTTTAATGCCCTTACTTTATTTTCCCTCCTTGCTGACGAATCCACCTTTGACACAGACTCCCTCTTCGACTTTTTGGCAGCAACTAATTTATTACACAAACTTTGATAATCCTTCCTTTAGCACTCCTCACAGCCCCTCCTAACTTTATCTTTACTGTTATCTCCACCCTTATTTATCCTTAGATCCTGCATCAATTCCTACCCTGCAGTGCTGTATGACCCTGGTAGGTCTAGTGCTCCCTTTTGATTATAATAATAATAACCGGGGTATATGGCGAGATGAAACTACAGGAGCTAAACCTGATGACACTGGAGGACAGAAAGACTAATGTGCAGACATGATAATGACACACAAAATATTGAGAAGAATTGATAGGGTGGACAGGAACAGGCAATTTAACAGGTGGAAAATACGTAAATATGGGCACAGCTGGGAGTTGAAACACACAGATAAGTCCTAAGGATGATAGGAAATATTTCTTCAGCTTCATAGTGGTCAGGAAGTGGAATAACCTGGAAAGCGAAGCCTTTGACTAGATATGATGGGGCTCATAAAGCCAGGAGTGTGTGAACCCAGTAGCATCCAGCTGCCACTATCCCAGCAGCCACAAATTGGCGAGTGCAGTTAGGGAGTCAAGATATCATCTATTAATTGTTTAGAGGAGGGAAATCAGAAGTTCAAGTCAACTCTCCCTCAGAAACTAGTTAATATACTGTACTCAATGTTCAACTTTCTCAATCAATTTAATAAGTGACAACTCCCTCAATGAATTCCAACATTCATCCCTCAATTCACTCATTCATTTTACAGCCCTAGGAGTTCAGTTCAAGATAAAACACTAAGTGCAAGTTACACATGCAAATGCAACATTTAAGAGCCCAAAAGCATCAATCCAGACATGGCTTACCATACAATGAATTTATTAATCTGACATCACAGCTAATTTACTACAATAAAGTATTAGTAAACAAACAATATATATTCATTAAATACAAGTTGACTATTATCTGTCAGCTTTTGGACATAAATTACATTTCAGGGTGAATAAGGCATCAATACCAACAACAGAGATGAATGCGATGTTAAAGGCGACACTTGACAAAGCACCTCCATGCTGACCTCTTGATCAACATACTAACCTGAAGTTCAGTATTAGCAAGGTTGTGATGATGATGGGTTTGGTTGTGTTGGTTATTTTTGTTATCTTGCTCAGCCTGCAAGTTCAATCTTGGCAACTGTAGTTGAGGGGCTTGTTGCTGCGAGAAGTGAGGGACATTGGGGGCATATTATTACAACCCTATATATCTGCACCCTACCCTCTCAGGAGATTTTTGAAGGACGGGATAAACCACCTTACACACAAGCACCTCTCACAAGATGTTTTATAGAAAACTTTCAAATATACAAAAGTGTTGATTTTTAAATTATTAGTGGCTAAAACTCAAGTTTTTAACCAATATGGAACTAGTTTAAACATTTTGATATTCAGCTCGAGCAAATTTAAGATTACTTAATACTGTACTTCTACAAAATGAATTATTACATTACAGTTAAAAATCACAAACTGCCAAATAATTACATCATGTATATTTCATTCATGAAAACCAACCCATACCCCATCTCTTTCTCATGTCCACAAACATTTAAGATTATATGGTAATATATGTCACTTTTCTATCATTAATCAATCATTTGTATTAATATAAGGGAGATTTTACAATTTCTTTTTATTTAATTCTCAGTTCCTACAAACTCTTAAGCATTTTTCATTTTGGTTTGGATGAGACATTAATGAAGCAGTTGCAATCTTCTTGCATTGTGATATTAGGTTGTGAAAAAAAAAAAGAAGAATTCCTACCATCAATAAAATTACTCAGCTCATTACAAGGATGCACGAAGAGAATTTTTTTTTTTTAAAAACTAAATGACTAAACATAAGTTACACAAAACTTAAAATACCCTAGCTAAATAAATACCCTCGTCTTACGACCAGGTCATCATCTAGTTGGTAATACATGATAAGCTACTTTACTTCCAGCACTGCCACAGATGGAGTCAAACCTATAACTAAGATGATGCCAATATTGCCATAGGATTGGAATTTCCCAGATAAAAGATGTTTCAATTCGCATAATTTTCTTTGTATTTCAGTGTCACTGAGCTCTTAATTTTAATATTACTAAAATCTATGGTTTGCATGTTTAGTTAACAAAATTTATTGTGTACATTGAATCTTTGATTTAAAGGGCTAACAGGAAGGAATGGGTAGCTGGTAATGAAAATTATGGTGCAGAAAGAAGAGACTGTTTTACAGTGATCTCAATATCACAATTCTGTAATCAATAAACTTTGTCCTTCGTTTCAAAATCAACTGACCCAGCAGATTTTGTCCTGTATTTCCAAAGCCCATTAAATCATGGTTTTACTACCTTTCTATAGAACATAGCTTATACCTATGATGTATATCAGTAAATTTATTATGCCAATACTACTACTACTAGTTTTCATTATTGATAATTAATAAATGATACATGCAATGTTGTTACTCTTCCATCAACAACAATTAAACCTTCAAGCCCTGTTATTAGATTCCAAAATATCAGTTAAACCATCTTCTATTAATTTTAAAATCCACCACCACCACACAGTGCTAATAAATAATGTTTAATGTTTCAGTGTCTTTGTAAATACAGTATAGTACGTACATCCATAATGTATACAACTTCAAAACCACCAGAATACACATGCCACAATTTATGTTAAACACTGAAAAATCTACCAAAATATACTTTTTGTTATTACCTTTTGTCCTTTACTAACCAACAGCTATTTTTAATTAAAAAAATTGAAGCCGCTTAAAAACTAAGTTATTTTACAATGAATATTAAAGTTAAAATGTTACCAATAAAAATGATAACATTAATCAAATTATTTCACTAAATTACTAATATGAAACCTATTATCTATATTACCAGCAAATAACTGAATATTCAATCAGTTGCTCAATGATAACTACAGGAGATACCCATGTACATACTGTATATTGTGTTGACAGGAACCAGTTCCCTCCAGGGTAAGGACCCTACACCTCTACACCTGTATTTCGATGGTACATAACCCAGGTTCTTGCCAGGTGACAATCCCACACTTCTACACCTGGTTCATGATGGTACATAACCCAGGTGACAACCCCACACTTCTACACCAACACCATGATGATACATAACCCAGGTGACAACCCCACGCTTCTACACCAACACCATGATGGTACATAACCCAGGTGACAATCTCACACTTCTACACCTACACCATGATGGTACATAACCCAGGTTCCTGCCAGGTGACAGCCCCACACTTCTACACCTGCACCATGATGGTACATAACCCAGGTTCCTGCCAGGTGACAACCTCACACTTCTACATCTACACCATGATGGTAATATGTATTGCAACCAAGTTTCAAATTTAATCCATCAGTCATGACAGGCTCCGCTGTTATGCCCAAATCATATTTCACACAATATTCAGCTACATATAAGTTTTGGGTTGGATTTTGGGTTGATATTTCATATTATTGTGAACATAACTTGTGTAACCAAGGCATTATGTGGGCTTGAACCCAGGTGTAATAATGTGAAATCTCAGTTTGCACATACAACCATTTTTTTTTTTCAATGCACCAGACATGTCCCACTGAGGTAGGATGATCTAAAAGAAAAATATAAATTTTTGTTTTTATATTTAGTAATTCATACAGTAGAAGGGGTTACTAGCCCCTTGCTCCCGGCATTTTAGTCGCCTCTTACAACACGCATGGCTTACGGAGGAAGAATTCTGTTCCACTTCCCCATGGAGATAAGAGGAAATAAACAACAAGAACAAGAACTACTAAGAAAATATTAGAAAATCCAGAGGGGTGTGTATATATATGCTTGTACATGTATGTGTAGTGTGACCTAAGTGTAAGTAGAAGTAGCAAGACATACCTGAAATCTTGCATGTTTATGAGACAGAAAAATGGACACCAGCAATCCTACCATCATGTAAAACAATTACAGGCTACTGTTTTACACTCACTTGGCAGGAGGGTAGTACCTCCCTGGGCAGTTGCTGTCTACCAGCCTACTACCTATAATATATATATATATATACGTATATATATATTTATTTTATTTATTATTATCACACTGGCCGATTCCCACCAAGGCAGGGTGGCCCGAAAAAGAAAAACTTTCACCATCATTCGCTCCATCACTGTCTTGCCAGAAGGGTGCTTTACACTACAGTTTTTAAACTGCAACATTAACACCCCTCCTTCAGAGTGCAGGCACTGTACTTCCCATCTCCAGGACTCAAGTCCGGCCTGCCGGTTTCCCTGAACCCCTTCATAAATGTTACTTTGCTCACACTCCAACAGCACGTCAAGTATTAAAAAACCCTTTTCCATTCATTCCTATCAAACACGCTCATGCCCTACCTGCTGGGAAACCCAAGCCCCTCGCACACAAAACCTCCTTTAAAACCCCCCCTCTCCAACCTTTCCTAGGGCCCACCCCTACCCCGCCTTCCTTCCACTACAGACTGATACACTCTTGAAGTCATTCTGTTTCGCTCCATTCTCTCTACATGTCCGAACCACCTCAACAACCCTTTCCCCACCCTCTGGCACAAGTTTTGGTAATCCCGCACCTCCTCCTAACTTCCAAACTACGAATTCTCTGCATTATATTCCACACCACACATTGCCCTCAGACATGACATCCCACTGCCTCCAGCCTTCTCCTCGCTGCCAACATTCATCACCCATGCTTCACCACCCATATAAGAGCGTTGGTAAAACATACCTCATACATTCCCCTCTTTGCCTCCAAGGACAAAGTTCTTTGTCTCCACAGACTCCTAAGTGCAAACCCCTCACTCTTTTTCCCTCATCAAATTCTATGATTCACCTCATCTTTCTAGACCCACCGCACACGTCCACTCCCAAATATCTGAATACATTCACCTCCTCCATACTCTCCCCCCCTCCAATCTGAATTCAATCTTTCATCACCTAATCTTTTTAAACCTCATAACCTTACTCTTTCCTGTATTCACCTTTAATTTTCTTTTTTGCACACCCTAACCAAATTCATCCACCAATCTCTGCAACTTCTCTTCAGAATCTCCCAAGAGCACAGTGTCATCAGCAAAGAGCAGCTGTGACAACTCCCACTTTGTGTGTGATTCTTTATCTTTTAACTCCACGCCTCTTGTCAAGACCCTCGCATTTACTTCTCTTACAACCCCATCTATAAATATATTAAACAACCACGGTGACATCACACATCCTTGTCTAAGGCCTACTTTACTGGGAAATAATTTCCCTCTTTCCTACATACTCTAACTTGAGCCTCACTATCCTCGTAAAAACTGTTCACTGCTTTCAGTAACCTACCTCCTACACCATACACTTGCAACATCCGCCACATTGCCCCCCTATCCACCCTGTCATACGCCTTTTCCAAATCCATAAATGCCACAAAGACCTCTTAGCCTTATCTAAATACTGTTCACTTATATGTTTCACTGTACACACCTGGTCCACACACCCCCTACCTTCCTAAAGCCTCCTTGTTCATCTGCTATCCTATTCTCCGTCTTACTCTTAATTCTTTCAATAATAACTCTACCATACACTTTACCAGGTATACTCAGCAGACTTATCCCCTATAATTTTTGCACTCTCTTTTATCCCCTTTGCCTTTATACAAAGGAACTATGCATGCTCTCTGCCAATCCCTAGGTACCTTACCCTCTTCCATACATTTATTAAATAATTGCACCAACCACTCCAAAACTATATCCCCACCTGCTTTTAACATTTCTATCTTTATCCCATCAATCCCGCTGCCTACCCCCTTTCATTTACCTACTGCCTCACGAAACTTCCCCCCACACTCACAACTGGCTCTTCCTCAACTCCTACAAGATGTTATTCCTCCCTTCCCCTATACACGAAATCACAGCTTCCCTATCTTCATCAACATTTAACAATTCCTCAAAATATTCCCTCCATTTTCCCCCAATACCTCAACTCTCCTTTTAATAACCTCCTCTCCTTTTTTTAACGACAAAATCCATTTTGTTCTCGGCTTTTTTAACTTTTTAACTCACTCCAAAAACTTTCTTTTTTCAACAAATTTGTTGATAAATCTCACCCATTCCTTTTTCTCTCTTTTTACTTGCTTCACCCTCTCAACCTCTCTTTTTTTTT